TATATTTTCTTTTAAGGTGCTTTGAAAGTCTGAAGAACAACTCTTAAATTCATTCAGTAAAAATGTTTGCTCTTAGTATGCTTCTGGCTGTGAATTTGGTAGTTGACTCAGTTATGCGTAGCTCCTCTATCAGTCAGGTGTATATCTCTCCTTTTTTTAAAAAAAAATGTATCACTGTAGGAATTCGACCACATGCAGTACTGTTAATTGTTTACAATACGTATTTTGTTATACGTTTGACCCTACTATTCTATTTCGGTTTGACTTAAGTTTCTTGGAGTGAGAGTCCTCATTTCTTAATCAAATTCTTACGGAAACTTCACCGTCGTAAAGAGAGGGTGTTATTATAAATTTTCCTCCTCGTCAGACGGTTCCTCCTCATCTGACCCCCACTGGTCTGAAATTAGAAGAAAGTGTTGAGGGTGTTGCATTGCAGAGAGAAATGTGTGCCCTGTGAACAGAGTAATAATGTTCTCTGTATAAATCGAGTTAAACATATCCTGTTTCATCTGTATAAATTTATAGGTCTTGCTTTTAAGGGAAATGTGCTCAGGACTGAACCCGGACATTTTGTTATGCACCAGATTTAACAGCCTTTCTGTTACTTATTCATAATAATGAAGGGCAAAGGTTATTTGTTCAAGCAACATCTTTATAACTTCTCACTGTGGTTATTACTTCCACTTTTTTTTTTTTTTTTGCTTTTTGTGCTAGGTACAGAGTTGGACACTGCCCTTCCCATTTGTTTTTACTTATTGTAATTAAAGGACCTTCTCATTCTATCAAGTTATTGCATCAATCCGTATTACTCTGTAGCTTCTAAAGTTCAACTAACTGAGATACTAATTTGAGTAAAAAAATATATATAGCAAGGTATTGCATTATACCTTGCTATATATTTTTTTTACTCAAATTAGTATCTCAGTTAGTTGAACTTTAGAAGCTACAGAGTAATACGGATTGATGCATATAAACAGTTTGTTGAAGTGGAAGATAATTCCATTTTGTGCAAAACTCTAGGCTAGGTTTTAAAACGTTAGCTTAACCCTAAGACATTACACAAGATGTCTAATACTCTTCTTAGATTTAGAGAAGAAATCAAGTTAGATGTAAAAATGAACTGATATTGTCAGGACTCTCATTTTGTCCCTTGTTGTGTAGTGTTATGGTGACTACTAAATTAAACTATTCCTTTATGAATTTATGACATGACAAATGGGATGACCTCAGTATTGGTAGGAATGTGGAGACAATAAGCTCACTTGTTTACATAAGCACAAAGTAATGATATACTGTATGTAATGAAGTAATGAATACCGTAGCTGCTACAGTATTCCCATGCAGTCCAAACATTTCAAATGGAAGTAACTCAGAATGAGTTTTTTAGTTCTTATGGTTTCATAATATCATACTTTTGTCTGTGAGTAGTTACTAACATTAAACTTAAACCCTTCTAGAAATATTTACATTTGAGATTGTTCTGCGTGGTTTCTTTGTACTGGAGTAAAGATCTTATGGAAAACTAATGCTTCAGTGTGAATAATCTGATTTTAACATTCTCACAAAGGTGTCTTAAAATCTCAAACAAATTATATATTAGACTCTTGTAGCACTCCTCATGGTGTTTGCTGCAAAAGACCAACATAGATACTATATTCACATTTGCAGAATTCTGTTTTAATTGCCTTTTATAATGTTTATTTATAGCTTTTATGCCTACTCCACACTGCCCAAAGTTCCTCTGTGAGGAAGATGGGTAGTTTCTAAATGTGATATATAAATAAAAATTAAATTCTACAGCTTTCTTTGTGAACACAGAGTATGGTCTCATTTATTTCTTGACAAAAGAACATGTGTTCTTACAGGATTGTTTTGATCCAGAGATTTTTTTTTAAATTGATATGGAAGACTTATAGCTCAGTCAAATGCTTTATTATAGGAAGACTTACTTTCATAAATTTATCATTTAAAATCAAAGTCTTTTGATTAAAGATGCATTAGTCCTAGCTATTGCAACCAAAAGAACAGGTGTGCATCTTCAAAGAAATTGGAATGATTTCTGTGATGAATGTACATTGGCAACAGTCAGTGTTTTGGTGTTAATTGTTTTGATTTAGCTTGAATTTCCATAATTCCCATCAGTGCACTTATGAGAGTTGATGTCCAACATGTCCAAAGCATATCCAGCTACCAAACTCCCTAGTGCTAAAAGTGGTAGCAGACTGCAAAATCTCATTACTTTCTCTATTTAGGGGTCTTTTCTATTTTGATTGAAGAATTGAGAATCCCAGTTGAACTACAAATAATTAAAAGCACCATGGTACAAATAGTATCAAGAATTAATGGTTTCAAAAACCGAGTATGTTTAGTTTAACAAAGAGAAGGACTAGGAGTACAGTCTTCCAGTATTTGAGGGGCACAGTTAACCTACTCTCTCTAAAGTACCTGAAGGCAGGAGAAGAAATAACGGATGGAAGCTTATCAAGGAGAGGCCCAACCTAGAACTAAGGAGAAATTTCCTGAGATAATAATTAACCAGTATAACAGCTTGCCTTCAGAAGCAGTGGGTGCTCCATCCCTATAGGATTTTAACAAAGATTGGACAGCCATTTGTTCAGAATTTGGCATAGGGTCTCCTGATTGCACAGGGGGTTGGACTAGAAGACCTCCAAGGTCCCTTCCAACTCTGTTATTCTGTATTCTGCAACATCGTTAATCTGAATGCAAAACACTGTGAATGAGGAAGCTGATTCTCGGTTTATACAGATGTATGGCTCAAAGGTTTCTTTTTGTTTTGCTCAATCCACAATGCCTTTCGTCCGACTATTATATTCCTGCACATCTTACGTTTGAGGCGGTAACCTTCGATTTCTCAGCCTTCTCCTTTTAAATTGGCCTTCCTTTATGGTCATAAACTTCCCCCAGCTTTTTTTTGCAAATGAAGACAAGTGAACTCTGGACTATAAATTGCACTGACTCAGAATAATTTCTTTTTCTATTTAGATCATTGTTTTTTAGTTTTTCGAGAGATACACAACATTATATATGAAAAGATACAAGTACTCTATACTCAAAGGTGATGCAATCCTTATTTATTGCTTTGCCATTTTCTGCTTTGAGCTTTCCTGTGCTTTCATAAAAATAGTTATTTGGAGTTGCATATCTTTTTATTTATTGTTTTCAACATCTCATTTAAGGAAACTTTACTTTCTACTTGTTTCTCTTCAACAGTGGCTGCAATTCTAAAACATAATTTTAATAGAATTTTACTCCTTGCATTGGAACAGAATTTCACTTAAGGTTTCTAGGCCAAATATAGACAAAACATAAAACTGGCTGTGGGTCCTCTTTGCCTATACAGCCTAAATTTGATATTCCTTTGCAAAAATATATACCCATTACAATCCTGCCATCTTCATGGACATCTTCAGCATAATACCCATTAAAAGGATAAAAAATAATTGTGAAAAGATTCACATGCAATCTGGTTTCAGGCCTGTGTTCTACATGTAAATTGTTTAGGTTGTACTGATATGACTTACACTGAGAAATAGATTTTAAAAATGCATATATTCTGATGGGTCTTTCAGAGACTTGAATATGCTATTAACCATGATATCCTTTTCATTTACTTGATTGATATAACATTAGAAATGGTATTGTGGATTTTAGATCTCTCTGTGAGAGCTTGTTCAACAGGTGGTGTTACAGGTTGTTGTACGATTTGTAGAATAGGTCTTGGTTATGTCAGCATTATCGGTATGTGCAATTCCAAAGTCAGTTGAGATACGTTATACAGTATCACACTGATTGACATCCTTGAGACTAATTCAGTCCTAATCTCCACTCAGTTTACTTGGAGGATCACCTTTCTCCACTGGAACCTGCCATTCATATTTATATCAACTTATAGGCCTAGTTTGAGGGGCCTTTGTGAGACCAGTCAGTTTGATTGGTATCCAATAGATTGCTTTTGTTCTAATATTTCTGAAGTAATAGTTGATCTTTTAAGTTGGAGCCGAACAATTTTTAAAGCTAGTCTCCTGGTAAGTAGAACCAGTTAACAGAATGGTATTTGTTATAATCTTATGGCAGCATATTTGAAATGGTACATAGCTAGGCCTTTTAAAATGAGGTGTATATGTGTATGTGGATATATGCACCAATGCCCACAATTAATTTCAAGTGCTTATGTGTTGCTTTAACCATTCCAGTCCCAAATGACATACAGTAAAATATCATATTAGAAGATATCTCTAAGGACATGTGGTTTTAAATTCCTAGAAATATTTGCAATAAATCAATTCTAATAAAGGCCAAAATAGAATGGCAATTCTTTAAACTGGATTCTTGATTTAGATTATAGAGCTGGGTAATATGAACATAGAAGAAATGTCTTCATAATAACATAACACATAAACTGTATATTTGTGCATATAACTTTATTTTAATATGTTTTATTAACAACAGTAGATAACTGTATTATACTTATGGGGAGACTAAGCTCCCTATTTTCTTTCTCCCATATTCAATAAACCTGAATTTGCTGTGACAGGAGATACTAGTACTAATTACCATTCTGGGATATTGAAGACCTTTTAAATAACCTGCTAGAATCTTTTTACCTAACCTCTGATCTGTAGTGCAATCTCTTTTTGCTAATTTAAAGAGGAAAGATACCTAGTTTCATTCTGTGGAATTCTTAGTAGTCCCTAAGCTTGGCTGTTTGCTTGCGAACAATTTGGTAACAACATCAATACTAAGGATCAGTTTCGCTACCTACACTCCCTCACGCTGATGATGTTACCTATTTGGATGATGAAAAGTCTGCAAGCAAACCATCAAGCTCAGAGAGCATCAAGAACTCCACAGTTCAACCCTGAGCTGCAGATATTCTCTTCTGCAGTACTGGAATTTTCACTTTTATTTCTATCTAAGTCCATTGTATGTAGCTGATATCCAAGTGTCTCTAAAGATATTTTTGCCTTCTCTACAGCTTTTGGTGCCTCGTGATTAAAGAGGAAAATGAGAAGATTTCTGAGGCCTGGACATGATACCGTAAGAGAGAGGCTAAAGCGTGACCTTTTCCAGTTTAACAAGGTATGTCGTAGAGCTCGAATAAGATCTAAGAGGAAACAAGTACAGAACTTTTCCACATTTCATGTTTCATTGCTGATTCAGGTGAATTGAAGTATGGAAGAGATGGGACTCTTTAACTCTATGACTCTTCCAAATGCAGTTTGCCCATAATCATACTTGATTTTTGGCTTAGCTTAGAACGTAGCATGAAATACAGAAGTGTCTGATAAAACATCCCAGAGTTGTTGGGAGTTGGTGGTATAAAATTTAATCAATCTTCACCTTGTACTGGACCTATGCTACTATTGAGACAATAAGATTTTTTTTGATATTTTCGTGTCTTAAACTTGCAGATGGTTTTCTGAATTCCAGATGGCCATTTAGAACTCATACTTTTCAATTATAATTTTTAAGACACAAAGTCTTTTTTTCTCTGCCAATACGTTTCCTCTGTGGAGGCACATGGCAGCTATTGTGGTTTGGATATAGTACTGTTTTTAAATAAGCAAAGGGCAGTGTACAATTCACAGGCTTATATGCACCCGTTCAGTGCGAGTAGGAGGCGTGTTAAATTTTATTTTTAAAAATGAAAGCGGTTGGTATGATTATTTAGTGAAAAATCTGAAAAGCTAATACTGATATGGCTATTAAAGTAACTCTAAATAGATTTCGGTTAACTGAAAATAGGTTTCTCTACATTCTGAAACCTGCTTTGAATTCCACATCACAAACAGTGCAGTAAACAACAGGTAGTCCTCCTTTAACAACCATTCAAAGGTACGACGGCGTAAAAAAATAGCTTTACGACTAATCTTCACATTTGTGACCATCTCAGCATCCCAGTCACGTGGTCACTATCACTTTGCAAGTGATGCTGCTTATGACCATTGCAGTATTGCACAGTCAGATGATCACCATTACAGTGCAAGACAAGCAGAATTTAAAATAGGGAAGTAAAATTGCAAGTTGGGTTCATGTGATGTTTCACGTTGCGACCACAGCATTTAGCAATAGGGTTGCTGGTCCCAGTTGTGGTGGCTAAGAAGAGTGGTGCAGTGGTTTGAATGAAGTGTTGCAGGCTAATTATGCCAAATGCCAGGAGTTCAATTCTGAGCAGCTCAAGGTTGAACTTAGCCTTCTATCCTTTTGAGGTCAGTAAAATGAGGATCCAGATTATTGGGGGGCAATACTCTGTAAACCGCTTAGAGAGGGCTGTAAAGCACTGTGAAGCGGTATATAAGTCTAAGTGCTATTGCTAAGAGGTGGTTAACTATATCTAGAAGAAGTAAACGGTAGAGTGTTTTTGTGGTGTTTACATATTCTACCAGTGCTTAATTTTTGTGTAAATCTGTAAAAATGTCACTTTCTCTGACTTAACAGTCATGAAAAAGAGAACAGATTAGCAACTGAGGGAAAAGAAATATGACTTGATTTACAATACTGAATTATGGCCAGTCTTGCATGGAAACCTTAAGATAGGTTAGCACACCTCTTGCAAATGCTGAGAAGCACTGGGATAGCTTCAGTGTTTTACTTCCCAAGATTTTTATAACTAAGCAGTGCTATTCAAAAATCAGTTGTAGAAAGCCAAAGTAATTTGTGATTGTATTCCCTCCCCTGCTGGTCTCCAGAGAGACTTCAGTTTCTATCATTCCTACTCAGAGGACAGTCAGCTGTTTTATAGAGAAAGTGGATTGTAACCCACACTACGTGGAGAGCAACACAGAGCTTACGTTCTGGCCTTGTGATTATTTTATTTTAGGAATGATAAATTGAGGCATTTAATTGCCATACTTCTTCATAGTGAACTGGAGAATTGCAGATTCAGTTGTTCATGCATGGAATTCCACGTTAAGGATAAGCCACCAAAATGATTTCATTTGAAAATATAATTTTCATATTCAGATTCAGGTAACCAGATTCTCATTTTGCAGTTGGTTTACACACGTTAAGTTTCGTTTACTAAATATAAATTGGAGTGCAGGAAGTACCCATCCTTGACCCTTCTCTCTCTCTCTTAAATCATGAAATGGCAGTATTTTTAACTTACAAGTTTAGCCTCTGATTGGTGTGATTTGTGGTGAATTGGCCCAGGGCAGAAAAAAAAATGCCTGCTATACAAATTTCACAAAGCAATCAGATTTATTCACATGATAATTTATTTCAAAACATTACATTGTACTCAACCCAGGAAATCTTTCTTTAATAATGTCCATGAAGTAAAGAATCATTGGAAATACAGCTGCATTCTGGAAAGTTCTTTTAAAGTTAAGGTTAAAATGTTGCAGTATTGAGCTCAACTGCGTTGTTAAATATTTATTAATCTACTGTATATCATCACATAATTCCTAATCACATAATGTTGAAGCCCAACAGTTCTATTGCTAAGTGAGATAGTTTTTCAGTGAGTTTCGCTGCATTTTACACCCTTTCTTGCCATAGTTTTAAGTGAATCACTGCAGTTGTTAAGTTAGTAGCTTGGTTGTAAAGTGAATCTACTTCCCCATTGACTTTGCTTATCAGAAGTTCGCAAAAGATGATCACATGACCTTGGACACTTAACTGCCATAAATATGAGCCAGTTGCCAAGCATCCAAATTTTGATCATGTGATCACGTAGGGTTGCTGCAACGGTCATAAGTGAAAAATAGTCAACAAGTCACTTTTTCAGTGCTGTTGTAACTTCGAATGGTTGTAACCATTCATTAAACGAATGGTTGTAAGTTGAGGGCCATCTGTACAGGCATAGTATAAGATTTTGTCCTACACTGGAATAGGGAGCTTAGAACCAAATCCCAGGTAGCCTGAATCCCATTTTTATGGTCTTCAAAAACCTCTTAAGATTGCACCATTGACATGGGATACCAAAATACCGATTTTGAGCTGCATGATTTGTGCAATTTTAGGTGAGCTATTGTCTCTACAAGGTTTGTCATGCCCATTTTACATGGAAACTCTTCTTAGCTGCACATTATCTTTGATTGCATTTTAAGAGCCATGAAAAGATTGCCTGCTGTATTTTATATGGTGTAATGGTGCGTGGAAAGTCTTAGAATGTTTAAATGTGCAGTAGAAATGTAGCTATTAAATTAACACATTGCTTATTCGCTAGATAACCACAATGAAACAATGAATTTATTGATGTATCTGGTTATTTATTTACTTGCAACATTTATATGGCCCGCTGTCTCAAAACAGTTTAACTCTGGGCAGTGAGGAAAAAAAATGGAAAAGCAAAGCAAACCTGTAAACATAAATGGTAAACATGACTGAATCCATGATGGCTCCTAAGAGTGGAGACTCTACTCATTCTGGTCCAAAGGCTTGGGGGAAGAGCTAGATATTAATGGCCTCCCTAAAGTATTATAGGATCAGGGCCAGGGCCTGTGTTGGGAGAAGATTATTTCAAAGAACAGGTGCCACAACTGAGAATACATGGCTCCTGGATCCTACAGGTAGTTCTCAGATTATTTCCATTTTTTCAGTGACTGTTCAAAGTTATGATGTCACTGAAAAATGAACTTAACAATCACTGCTTGCACTTACGACAGTTGAAGCATTCCCATGATCATGTGATCAGAATTTGGGCGCTTTCTGAGCAGTCACATTTATGACTGTTGTGCTGTTACCCACCATACATTTTCCTGCCCTACCTGGACTGACTCTGCTTCAACTCCGCCCACTTCGCCTATCTCCCTGGTGCAGAGTGAGCTTTGCAGAGCCAAGCACCAGTGTGGCCAACAGCAGTACCATTTCTGCTTCATGAAAGCAGTGATGGGTGCAGCCTTGGAGGGGGCACCTTGTGGGGTTCTCAACTGTGACTACTTAAGAAGGTGGCTCAGACGGGATTTGGCCTACCCTATGCAGAACCACAGAGATTTGCCTGTCCCACTTACTTACTTACATACTTAGTCAAGGTAGTCCTTGATTTACAACAACTCTTAGTACTTAGACTTATATACCTCTTCATAGTGCTTCACAGCCCTCTCTAAGCAGTTTACAGAGTCAGCTTATTGCCCCCAACAATCTGGGTCCTCATTTTACCGACTTCAGAAGGATGGAAGGCTGAGTCAACCTTGAACCAGTGAGGATCGAACTGCTGGCATTGAGCTGAAGTAGGCTGCAATACTGCATTCTAACCACTGCGTCACACTGCTCAAAGGGACATACGACTGTTTTTCACACGTACCACTGTTGGAGCCATCTCCATCATCATGTGATCAAAATTCAGATGCTTGGCAATTGACTCATGACGATTGCGTGTTCTAGGGTCATGGGATCATCTTTTGCAATCTCTGACAAGCAAACTCAATGGGGAAGCCAGATTCACTTAACAACTATGTTACTAACTTAACAACTTCAGTGATTCACTTAACAGCTGTGGCACAAAAGGTCCTAAAATGGGGGAAAAAATCCCTTAACAAATGTCTCACTTAGCAACACAAATTTTGGATTCAATTGAGGACTACCTGTACTTATTTACTTGATTTCTATAGCTGCCCACCTCAGCAAATCACTCTGGGTGGCTCCATTTAGCATTAATTTAGTGAACACTTTGATAGCTTCTTCACCCATCCATTCATTCTCTTCTTGATTTGCTTTAACTAATACATCTTAAAAGTGGCTAAATATCAATTCTCCTTTAAAAGAAATGTCACATTTTGCAAGGACTTCTGCAAGTCCATTTTTTATTTCTGGAGGCCATGCAGCATCCCAATTTTTATTTCAAACTGCTTCAGTTACATATAAGTACACTTAACTGCAAACATATAATTATTGCTTTAAAGATTACCCAAAGCAAACCAGCTCTTTGAGTCTTTCTCCTTGGTGTTGTGAGTACTGTGCTTTTGTCAAATAAATAAACAAAATCCCAAAGCTACTGGGAATATTCAATTTGGGATTCCTATTTGCCTGGAAGACTGGGTCTAAACCATAGATATCATTTGTATTTTCAGTATGTAAAATTCAAATATTAGTATTCTTAATCTAAAAGAAAATATTTGCCTCCCTGAAAAAGCTGC